TGTGCTACATACAGTAGTATCACAAAGCATCAGCTGAGGCTGATGAGAATGTATTCTATGCATTTAGTCCTAAAGCTGGACTATTTGAAATTTTGACCTGTTGTTGTTGACACTACAGGGAAAGCTGATGGATCACCAAAATGTTTTCAATTCATCTTGAGTGGAACATCAGTGTGTGCACCAAATAGGGAGACATTTCACTCAAAACCAAAAACCAACCCCTGGTGGTGCTTGAGGAAAAGTTAGGGAATCACTAATGTTATTATGATACATTGTCTGGGCAATATGAATATCTGTACAAAATTCCATCATTCAGTCTGGACCAAAGCAGTAGATCAACAAACTGACAGACTGACAGCTAATAAGCAAGTGGTGCAAGTTGTAAAAGATTATTATATTAAAATATCACACTATCAAAGTTGCCAGACTGAACTGGCATACTTGTCTTTCTTTATGCATATACTAGAGCTTCAGCATGTGATTGCTCCATAATGTATGAATAATTACATTATTTTAATTATTCAATTAAAGGAATAAAAGCATCAGATTGGTCTCACTGGGGAAACATCTCAAAAAGAGTTGTTTTGTAATTAATGTTAACCACAGCATGTCTCTGAGCTGCAATGAAAAGAAGACAGCTCATTAATAATGCAGAGTTACGCCTTACCATCCCTTGCTGTATAATGTGCAGTTTTCTGTGTTAAACGAGAACCATCTAACTTTCTGTCCTCATCAACCTTTCTGATGATACTGTTCCAGAGCTCCCTGCCTCCCCGAGCCAATTAATGTGGACCTGGAGAATATTTGTAGCTGCAGCCTCTCATACAATTTCAACCCTTCTCAGGGAATCTACTCGAAGTGCTTCTGACTCCTGTGAAATCAATAGAGCTGAGATGCCCTTTTAAGTCTTGATGGTGTATAGCGATGTGTTTTTGTTTGATCCTTATGATTCTGTGCGAGAATGAAAAAAAGAGAAGTGCGAGAAAATTGGTGGCAGGAAAATTTCTGTTTTATCAGGTCCTGTATGGTTATGTGAATACCCTCGCACAAAATAAATGAGGCCACGTGTGTGTTCTGTTCAGGAGGCACAGTAATGAACACTGCACCATTTTTCTTCTGAGGCTAAATGATCTGTCACACGCTTAATGTAACAGGACAGGCTGTGCAAAACAACTGGCCAATACACTGAAACTGACGAGAGTTAATTTGGTGTCACATGTTGTGTGTTTTTGTCTGTTCAACATATATAAGTTACTAGGAATGAGTTAAAAATGAGTTTTAAGTGTTGTTTTCCTTTTTTGACAAGAAATGTCCTGGAAGTTTTGAAAAAGCTAGGAAAAGGACATTTTGTTGAGATTATTTTGTCACACATACTGATCCCAATATCAAGAGTAAATGTCCATGTAAGTTAATTAGTCATGTTATATTAATCAATATATATATATATATATATTGATTAATCAATGACAATTTTAGTAATCAATTAACCATCTGAGCCATTTATCAAGGTTATAAGCTCATTTCACAATTACAATTATTTTGTAGAATATGTATTTTCTTTTACTATAATGAACAATTGAACATCAGTTTTGTTTCTGACTTTCAATAGGCATTAATCATAATTATATTTTTTTTTTACAGTTTATTTTCATATATTCTTTATAAATTGTTTTATCTTTCTATGACTTTGAGTTTGTTTCTACTTTTACTTTTTATTTTCAAGTTTCTATTGTATTTTATGGATCTGGAGCTGTAGTTTATGTCTCATGTATGTATGTGGTTTAAAAATGATTAAAGGTGTAGGCATTAGGGTTGGGCAATGTGTTAAAATGTTCCATCTGGCCAATGCCAGCCCAACAACTGGCAATTGCCGATATATTCGCCCATGCATGTGTGCTGCGCCAACCCACTGATAGACAGATAGATGCCAAATTGTGCAAAAAGCAGAGCAACACATGTCGAACACATTATGTTACTCGCTATAGAGACAAACGTGACAGTTAATCAAAATGGCAAGACACTTTATGTGATGTGCTGCCAACAACCCAAACATTGTGACAGATAATCACTGCGGGCCTGTCTAATACAATGAACATCAATCATTCACTCGTCAAGTTGAATAAAAGCTGCTTCAGCCTGAATCAAACCAGCCTTTGTGTCCATGGTATTGTTTAAGTATTTATCTTGAATACATGAACTGTCGGTTTATGACAAGGGGGCAATATTCCAGCTTTGTAATTTTTCACAAGAGGCATCATATCAGTGTGGGACCTCCATTGATCTTTGCTCAAATTTAGAGTTACATAAAAAAGATGAACTTCTGTAAAGCCCAAACCTCTGGTCTAATAGTTACTTACTGATTAAGTAAACTGATGCTATTGCATCATCAAGCTGCACTAGCATGGTAGATTTATGTGATGGCTAGCTGGTGCAGTGAATAGTCAATGGTTTGGGCAGGAGATGTCAGATATGATGATGTCTGATCTGTTCTGTTGGAGAGTCGGAAAATGTTTTTTTTGTTGATGTTTGTTTCCATTACTGTAATGTGTTGATGCTGTAATGTGAAAGGCCTATGGTGCCTACATTACATTGTGTCTACATTTGGCCTTGTGTATGCATGTGTAACCAATCAATCAGTTAATCAATTAATCAACACTTTTGCAACAATTGCAAGTAACGTTATCTGGGCCCATATTAAATGTTGTCATGTGCCGAGGAATTTTCTGAAGTATTTAACAGGCTTTCCATCTGAATTAGTTAACAACTACAAAGACCAGCACATTCGTTTGTGAACGTTTCTAAATAAATTTAATATGTTAAATACACACAGCAATAAATATTAACTGTCTATAAAGTATCCCTCTAGGAAGTTTTATTTTATTGTTTAAAAAACAAAAGACTCCTTCGTGTGCATGAAAATAAAATGACATCACAGTGTAAGCTTGATAACCAAGTACAATAGAAAACCAAGATTACTATCAGAAGTTGCTATTAAAAAGAGACCTTAATAAACATGCAAATTATCGTGCAAGTGTTTGCTTTTTAACTTCCGACCAAAGGACTCTGGAGTGTTTTTGTGTCTTACATTAATGCATTTTTGTAATATTACAGCCTCTGGTTCATTAGTTTGAAGATGAAAAGGACTGATTCTCTTTTCAGGAGCAACTTTTGAGATAACTGCTGTACAGTCAATCTTTGTGCGTATGTGTGTGTGGTAGATCTTGTGTCTGCATGAGCAAACTTATTTCACACTGACATGATGTACGATGCATTTTCATTGTATTTTGTACATTTATTTTAACTCTAAAATTAACTGTCTGACAGGACAAGACTGGCTATGCTTTAAGTTAAAACAAATATAGAATGAATGAATCCAACATTTTTTGTAATCTGAGGACTGATTGTATCTTTTCAGACAATTTTCAGCTCTGCAGAACTTTCACTTGAAGAAAACATCTAAAATAAGGCCCTAGAAACAACTGTAATAAAACTGGTTGTAATCTTAGTTACAGCTCACTGTGACAACATTGTCAGGGGAAAAGGTACATTTATTAAAAGACTATCTTGAAAAAAATCCTCCATTGCAGAAATGTGGTCTATCAATGCCTCATGTCAGGTATGAAAAAATGCTGATTATTAAAAGTGTACTAAATCCATCAAGCAATTAAATTACAGTGGCTAATATTTTGCCAACTGGGTAATGCAGTTTTGAACAGTCTCAACGTAAACAGTGTCTCTGAATTTGAGGAAATAATTTAATCACTCATATCCTGTAGTTAAATCATTAATACTTACTGAAAACTAAAACTGAGGTTGTAAGTAAAAACTGAAAAAAACCCAACTGTGTGCATGTCTAACAGAGATCTGAGCAAACTATCAGCTGAGACGTGATGGGCAGGTACTCATATACTTGATAATTTGATGCTGCCTCTGCTGTTCATTCCTGCAGTGCAGCTTGAGAACAGACTTCAGCACTTGTCCCATGTTCTTGGAAGCACTGCTCTGTGGTCTGTTCCTGCCACACTGGTGGCACTGTGGGTATGTGAGCGGAAAGCTGTTACGCAGCTCCAACAATGAGACATAATTTAACACAACCCCATCAAGCCTTTTAGAAGGACGTGCACACTTGAGAGCCTACATTTTAGTGATCGTGTACTCTGATCTTTACATTTTTTGTTTGGGGAGCTTGAAAATGTAAGTTTAACACGCAAAATGAATTAGAAAGGTGTCTTGTCTGTAGATAAGATTCAACAGGCGCCATCGAGATAGTAGCCTATGAAGAAGCAACATAGTGAGATAATAGAGATAGCGGTGGGTGGGGGGTAATGTTCTGGGCTCTGTGCACCTTGTAAGCTCCTTTGCCTTCACCAACCAGCGTAAGAACATTTTGTGCCCTGGTGCCTGTTTGAAGCCAGCTGCTAAGCTGGGGGCTGCCTGTGTCATCTGTGCTGTTGGCTGTGACTGTTTGTGTGAACTGATCCTACATCAGCCTCATGGAGCTGTCTGTTCAGAACCATGGAGCTCTGCTGTCAGCAAACATCTGCAGTGCTGAAAAAAACAACATTGCACAGACTAAAAAGTAGAGTCAAACTTTGATCTTTGTGGTGACATGCTACAAAGGTGTGTTTGCATGTGGGTATGTGTGTGTGTGGTAGCTCAACCAACATACATGGTGCATCTGTGTGTACACACCGCAGCCTGATGTGCCCCTTAAAATGAATTATAGGCCACTGAGAAATTGTATAAGATTTATATGACTGAGAAGTGCCTTCGGCTATAACCTTAAATTCTTGCTTGTCAGAATTCTTGATAAATGAGCATATTGACATGGAAGTGTCTCCATCAGGACCTCACATATCACAGGAGTCCCCTGCACAGCAGAGGTGGGTGACAGAAGTGAAAACAGAGCATCTATGCGAAAAATATAATAAGGCAAATGCATCTTTGTCAGAAAAATTGACAGGATATCACGTCAATGTTTGTTTCATTTTCTTCCTCACCTGTACCAGTCAAGCCCTCTGTCATAGTTCCTGTCGAAAAAGTGCGGCTCTGTTCCGAGGGCGCGCACATCTGGATGTATCCGGATGAACTCCAGCACCGCCCTGGTGCCTCCTTTCTTAACACCCACTATTAACGCATTTGGCAGCTTCTTATTCCCATATTTTTGCACAACACTCATGTTTCTCAACTTCAAGTCAGCCCAGTTACTTCCAGACGAGGCTGGGGTTTTAGTTTGGTCGCGGACATCACTTGATCCTCGCCGGGCAGCAGACTCATCCAGAGCGGACCTGACTTCCAGCGAAGCGCAATTGTCTAATTGTCCAAGAAGTTTCTTCCCTCCTGCGCTCTTGCTCGGTGGGCATCTTTTCCCCTCATAACCCTGATTTGTCATGATTGTGCTGCGACAAAAAAGAATACTATAGCATAAATAGGTGCAGGACAGTGACACAGTAAATATGAAGGCGAATCTGGCGCTGAATCTGTTGGTAGATGAGAGGAACCTATGTGCCATGTCTCCATGGGTTCAAAGTGCTGCATGATTTTCCATCGGAGTCCTCCTCCTTCTTTGGTCTGCGGTCTGAGACTGGCAATAATACAGGCTCTAAAGTCTGACAGACTGGCATATGAGGATAGGGGTGGCTTCTCGAAGGCATCAACTGCGCGTAAGTCGCGTTATTTCTTTTCATAGGCTGCTGAACTGTGAGAGAAAACTTGGAAGCAGAATATAATTAAAGCAGCCTCCAAGAGACAAAACGTGTCAGTCCTCCTTTAAACAAGTTTCTCTTAAGTACTTTGAAGTGAGTCATTTGGATCAATTACTGATGCCACCGTCTTAAAACGAATCCCAGAGGAATTGGACGCCCATCTTTATCCTCCTTCTCCTTGTTGTTTGTCGATTGTGAGAGAAAAGAAAAAGTCCAACGCGTCCTCCCTGTCTGTGAAACTCTCACCAGCGCGATTGTTCTGCTTTCCTCCGAAGGGATTTCGATGCTCAGTCCACCTTTCCCTTTCATAATGAAGTTGTGAAGATATATGCACTTAGGCTACGGGCTATAAATATTTAATCAACCCTCTGACGTCATGCACATGATCATAATTCCATATGCGTTTTGTCTTTTAAAGGAACATCCCGAATATTTTAGGTAACATCATATTTGGGAATTTAAAGTTGCAACACTTGGCTTTCTGAGTGCCTGTCATTTGTGTAGAGAATCATTTCAACTTTTGGTCAGTTACTTAAGGATGTCAGAGCTGCAGTGTGTTTGTGTTAACTGAGCCATATGAAATTATGTATTAATAACATGTCTAATTTCAGAGGAATTATCCAAACACAGGTTTTGAAAGCAGCTATCAAGAGATTTGTAATCAATTTTCTCTTGTGATGCAACATGTTTTCTTTTTGACTTGAAACAGAATGATTCATCAAGGCTAGGCTTTTTCTGCCTGTTGAGTATTTTCTTTACACACACCTGTGCATTAGCAGCATCTGAAAGTCAAGCTCACACTAGATGCTCTGTGTTGATTCACGCTGGATGCAGGAATGCAAAGCTTTCAGCTCTTTTAATGTCACGGTTAAAGTTTGTTTCTTTATGGAGGAGTGAACAGATTATGCAGTGTCTGGATAAACAGCAGCTGCATGTTTTTTCACTTTCTTCTGCGGAGACACCTTAAAACATTCTAAAGACAAAGAACATTACACTGACATTATTTCAGAGCCTTGACTCAATTGCAAACCATCTACCTTATGAGTAGAACTTTTTCAGTTATGTAACACTGTGAGTAATATTTGTCACCAATTAAACAATATTGCCGTTGATTGATTTTGTTTAAACTAGGTAATTGCAAACAACAAATAACCACAATATACATTATATTGAATGTTACGTAAATGTATTTGCAAGTACTCATCATGAAAAATGTCCCATTTCAGAATAATGTATATTATATAATTAGATTATAATCTATAATTTGATGATTTTACTGTGATGTTGGAGCTGCTAAAGGAGGGGCTAATATTAATTGCTTATATACTGATGTGTAGCTTAATCTATAATATCACATCTTAAGTACCTCAAAACTGTAAATGAGTAAATGTTACTTTACACCGCTGCAATAACCAATTAGAATAATTTGTGAAATATGGAACATAATAAGGATAAACCAGGTGTGTTCCAACCATCTGTGGAGTTGGCCGGGGCCATTATCCTTAGGTGCCAAAATGTTTACATACAGCGCGTTGGTGTGTACATGATGAATACGCTGACCGATCGATATGTCTCTTTAGGTGTCTATGACCAGTGTGGCTGTGTGTCAGAAAGTTCTGGCTCCTGATTGCTGGGCAGGTCTGTGTCACCCCTGGATTGTCATATCCAGTGACATTTCTGGCAGCCTCATTGTCCACAAGCATTTGCGCTGGAGTCTCCATTCTGCACTTCTCTGCCTCAGCGCCAAGTTCAGGCTGATATATTATATCAGGAGTGATTGGAGGTGCAACATTTTGCTCTCCAGACTGCTGGTGGTGAGTTACTGTATGTTCCTTCTCATCTGAGCTGGCCTCTTATAGTTTATTTGTTCATTTGTGTCTCTTTCTTTGGTGAATATGATTTTTTGTCCTAGCACACTGCTTTGGGCTGGTTCTCAAGTGGCACAGCATTACATGGCCCCAATATGTTCTGATTGAGGGTTCAGCCTCTCACTGTGCCTATTGAGGCTGTACCTGGTAAACTGGGCTGTTTTTCCCATGTATAGAACCCACAATATGTATTTGATCCAACATGAGTGCAATTCTGTAAGTCCTCCACAGCGTATATTTTACCCCTTGCTGTAGTCTTTTTGGTGGTTTTGGATGCAATGTCATATGTTTCTTTCATTTGCTTTTCATTTGAGGATATTCCTGGTATGAGTTACATCCTCTCTCATCATTTAGGCCAAAGATCAAATCAATTGATAAATGTGGCTTTCTACCAAAAAGCAAAGAAGAGTAACACTTTGCCTCACTGTTGTGCAGTTGTAAGAATGTACAACTTTATTCAGAGTTTCCCCAGTGTCCCCTTTTCTCTTCATCCAAGATCCACAGCATAGATAACAAGGTGAGATTACGCTTTCAGCTGTTCCCTTGTGGGTGGTAGAGAGTTGTTTTTGAGTTTGCAATGCCAGTGTATTTTTGTAGCTGGATTGTGGTGTATTTTGGCAGAGAAGCCAAATTTCAAGGCAAAATTGTCGGACATTTTCTCGACTGCTTTTTTACCTGATTTGTTTCGGGTGGAATAGGCTTGGGCAAACTTAGTGAAGTTGTCAATAAAATATACTCATATGCTTCCCAGCTTTTCCTTTCCCCTGGCTGACCAAAAGTTGGACTCTGACTAATGTTTGTTGGGGGGTTCCTTTTCAGGGCCAGCACTGCATCTAATTCTTTATCCTCTATCTTTTAGCCTTCAGATGATATCACTTTTCCAACATAGCGCACCTCATTTCTGAACAGGTCACATTTGTCTGGCCTCAGTTTAATTCCCCAGGCTTGCTGTCGTTTGAGGACAGATCTCAAATCCTCAGTATGCTGTAAATATTGTGGTGTAAACTAAGACATGGTCCAAGTATGGAATGCATATTTTGTCTCTGAGGCCTTCCAGGCTCTCTTCCATACTATGCTGGAAAGCTGGGGGTGTTTCTAAGGACACATGATATTCTGTACTTTTATACAGCCCACATGAGGCTCTGAGGGCTGTGAATCTATACAGTATATACATGATCCAAGCAAAAAAGTTCATGCTGGTTCTGATAGAAACACAGTGCGTTGCAGTTTGTTGGGTATAGGGCTGCATAGCATTATGACCACCAGGGTGCCCAGGCAGGCTGATCGGTGTGTATATATATCTATATATATATAGATATATATATACAGGTGTGTGTGTGTGTGTGTGTGTATATATATCTTGGAGGTCATGGTGCATACCCCAGCCACAACCCCAAACAGTTCCAAAATGCTTTCTTCTGCACGTATTGTATTGCTGCCTGCTGCTCTGTAAGCTATTGCT